GCTCTCTATTTCTTCCGTCTCTCTCTGTGTGTCCTTAATCTTTATTCTATATATTCCTTGGCTTTCTTTCTCTCTTTCTCTCTGGGTTACATCAGACACTCTGATTGCTACGGGTCATAAATCACACTGGCTAAAGCTGCTTTTAAAAAGAGCTTATATGTTCTCAGTAAAGGTGTCAGGTAGAGCTAAAGCTATTGAAGGTTTTTTTTTTTTTTTGTATTGAATACTGAAACGTATCGAATAAGCAGATTTTTCTACAGTATAGACAGGTGCATGTGGATCAGCCTTAGCTGGCTTTTCATTTCCTAACATCAATGACTCAATTAATCTAGGTCTAATAACATAGGCCTAGAAAAAGGCCTATGAGTGCTGAGTGCTTTCAACTGCAATTAGAGCTCAAATTATATGCTTTCTGGGCTATGACATGCTGGACAGGCTGTACACATACCACTGATTCTGGAAAATGGAGAAAAAATAGCCTACAGAAAAAAAGAAAATATATATATATACACACAGTTGAAGTCAAAATTATTAGCAAAATTATACAAATATTTCTCGAGTGCTGTTTAACAGTGAGATGATTTTTTAACACATTTTACACATAACAGTTTTAATTTATATAAGTAATTTCTTTTTTTCTATGACTATAGCACACAATATTTTAATAGTTATTTTCCAAAGTTCTAGTATTCAGGCTTAACTAGGTTAATTAGACTAAAGGTTCCATGAAGTGCTTTGAAATGTGCATTTTTTTTTTCGATGTTTGATGAAATCTCAACCAAAACTCGAAGAGAGGGTTGGACATAGGGTAGCTCCTCCCCTAGCATTTTGTTTTTGTCACAGCTCTGCCAGTGAGACTGGTTGATTTCAAATGCACCAATTGAAAAGCAACTGAGAAGCGTCTTGAAGGGGGCGGGTATGTCAGATACTAGAAAGCATTTGATTGGTCATGATTTGATAAGAATTTAAAGTTTGAGGTGACGAAAAAACTGTAAAAGGCAGAACTGACAAACAACAAGCTTTACAGGTTTATATTAGTTTTGTATCTCCTAAACATTAATTTTGTAACTGTTTTGGAGCACACTAGCTTATAGAGCTTAAAAACTAACAATACTACTAACATTTAAAAAGACACGTTAAACTAGGCACGTAATTGAAAAAGGCCTGCACGATTAATTGATTTTAAACCGAAATCACGATTTGAAAAGATGCGATTATCAATTCCATTATGACCTAGGCGAGGGAGGCAAGCGCGATTAATTAAAACAATCCAACTAACATTACTTAAAAAGCAGACAACTGCCACAGCAGAACCCACGAGCCTCTATTTTACTGCCATGGAGAAAATGACAGCTTTAAACTCCATCTCTGCTCAGCTTCTCTCTCTCTTTCTCTCTCTCTCTGTGTGTGTGTGTGTGTGTGTGTGGACCTTTGACCTGCTTGCGTGAGGTAACACACACACACACACACACACACACACACACACACACACGAGCATGTCTGCAGTGCGTGTTTTCTCGACCGCGTCTATCATGGATCAGCTGTGACATTAGTGCATTATAGACTGTAACGTTTATCTGTATTCATGACACTCATCGATGAATAACACCAGTGCCGTATAGACTGTCAGAGCCAATCATATCAATTTCTGTTGAGTGTGGAAACACTCAATGACCAATCACAGGTGTTTAAGAACACACTCGACAATGCTCAAAAAGCAAGCAGGGTAATATTTACATTTATTTATTTGCTATAAATGCTCATGACATTTTTTTTTTGTGTAATTGAGTTTTGTTTAAAACGTTCAAAATGAGTGTTTTCTTTAAGCAGGTTAAAGGTAAAGTACATAATATATCTGACTGCTTGTATATAAATGTATTTATAAATTATACGTTTTAATACAAGAATTCTTGTGCTGTGAAGTAAAATCTAAAATTGGGTTTTGGAAAGCATTGTCAGTGCATAAATGTCATGAAATTAATATGAAAAAAGTAACACAATCTAAACGCAAAAGTTTTAAAGGTTTTATATATTTATCCATAAAATTTTATATATAATTTGTTCAATTTAATTTTAAAGACTGTAGTTATTTTCTTAATTTGTCATTATAACTGGCAACTTTAAATAAACAGAAGCGACGACGTGGTGACGCAGTTGGTTAAGCCGTCACCTCACAGCAAGAAGGTCGCTGGTTCAAGCTTCAGCATTTCTATGTGGAGTTTGCATGTTCTCCTCGTGTTGGTGTGAGTTTCCTCCGGATGCTCCGGTTTTGAGTGTATATGGATGTTTCCCAGTGATGGGCTGCAGCTGGAATGGTATCCTCTGTGTAAAACATGAGCTGGATAAGTTGGCGGTTCATTCCCCTGTGGCGACCCCAGATTAATAAAGGGGCTAAGCCGAAAAGAAAATTAATAAATGAATAAACAGAAGCATAGTGTAGCGTACTTTTACCAAGTTTATGCTTAGTCTTTCTATGGTGCTGTTAAAATAACCACATCTAATAATATAGACCTTATAATAAAAATGTATCCAGAATAAAAACAAATATTACTGGAAATACTGTGTTAAATATCACCCACAAAATATATTTTTTTAAATAATAAAGACTTCACAGGAGGGCTAATTATTTTGCTTTCAACTGTATATTGAATGGTGAGTTATAATGTGAGGGCAGGGGTAGTAAGCATTTGTATTTAATAAAACACAACAGTGAAATGAATTATAATTCATTGTAATAAAAGGGACATAAATTATTTTGAGATTTACAAAACTGCTAATCACTGTTTGAAACAAATGACACATGAGCCAGCTTTTTCCCAGATCTCAAGAATCAGTGATGTATTGAAAATGACTGCAGAGCTCGATTTTCTTTAATGAATAGCTGAAGTAATCTGAGATGAGTCAATTGCTTTATTAATTGGGGAAAATCTAAAATCAGTATAGGGTGAGAAAGAAGTTATCACCAGCAATAATCAACAGCACTGTAAAATAATCAGTATTGATTCACTGGCCCTTGAGAGCAAGGCACTGAACCAGAGCCATAATTTGTATGTGAGACAGTGTAGGTGTCTGGGACACAGTGTACGTGAGTGTAGGAAGAGTTTGTGTGCTGGAAAGCGCATCACTGCAAAATGCCATGCATGAAGCTTTAAATAGCAGTTTGGCATCAGTTTAGGGATCAATTTTAAATTCAGTTTAACTTTTAAAGACTCTTGGAAACAGCTTGATGACTGCGGTTTTCTTCCTAGGATCGGAGGGAGAAAATATATACAAAAGGGTCAATACCCAATAGCCTTTATTCTGCTGTTATTGTTAGGAGAGAGCAAGACCCAAGGCTCGATTATTGAAAAAAGCATAATGGCCAACTTGGGTCAAGTAGGATTTGATAATAAACTGAATTACCACAGAAATTTTGTCAGACAGTCAATGCTTGTGAATAGCACAGAAATGTATGAGAAGGGGAGTAAACTGACTACTATCTCTTCCAAAATTGTCTGTGACTTCCCTGACAACTTAAATCTGTGATGAATGTTTAATAGAAAAATGTTGAAGGTTAGCGAACAGGCTGTCAATCCATTAAATGATAAGACATTCTCCAGTCTAAATGCAGTCGATGGTTGTCAAGCATCTCCTCCTTTGACAGCCAAATAAACAGTTTGTGGTGTGCTTCTTGCATACTTTTTAGTTGGAAACCTTCAAGGTTTGCTTTTGGTAAGGAAAGTAAATCTTAAACAACATTTCTTAAAACCTTTAGCTCACTTAGACAAAATCTTTGAGCAAAGAAAGTCCAAATTCTATCGTCAATAACATTAGCGAGGAAAGGCACAACACCACAGTCAGCTTTCTGTTGTTTACTGCTGACCACCTTGAAAATCAGCAACTTTTCCACCCTCACATGAAACTCCCAAGCAATACTGATTGGATTTCCTCTGCAAAATTTCACCAAGCATTCGCCAAAGCACCTTAAGGCATGCTCTAGAGTAATCCCTCTGGTTCTACTCAGCCCACTTCAAGCGAGATTCGAAATGACATTTTCGACATGCGAGGAGGGCATGCTAATAGGAATGCTAAAGACTGTAGCCTCTAGCATCTGCTACTCCGAATATCAAGAGGGTGAGGTTTACCAGTACGGCTCTTAAATGGTGGCCTTTGTTAAACTGACATCCATAACTCTTAATCCCATCCGGGTCACGGCACCAATTTAGCTCCTTTATTTCAACTCTGCTCACTCTGAGCAGGATTCATATCTGTTTTTAGCATGGAAGGTGGGTTTGCTAGCAAGGACACTATAAGACACTTAGCTGGCCTCTGTTAAACAAGTGTAACTCTGAGAGGGATTCAAACTGGTGTTTCTAGCATGGAAAGTGGGCAAGGATATTAAAGACCACAGTTGCTGTGTGCCTCTTGAGACCAATGGAGTGGGGTTTACAAGCAGAGCTCTTACTAGCTGGCCTCCATTACACTCACTTCCATCTAGGTCATGACACCAATATAACCCCAATATAACCTTTCCGTTTGTACTCGCCCTGCTCTGAGCAGGATTAGGCTTGTGCTCAAACGGAAACATTATTGACACAGCTTTTACTAGCTGGCCTATGTTACACTAACACATAGATTAGCCCCAAAAGCTGTCAGACAAACAATCACATGCTGGTTTGTAAATTTCAGATGTGTGTGTGTGTTTGTGAAATCATGTTACGCAACAGTATAAATAAATAAATGCACTAAGCACACAGGTAGAGTTGTACACTTTTGCAAATTATGTGTCAGAGTTTATTTTTACCCACATTGCTTTCCTGCTCAATGAAGGTCAGAGAAAGTGCCAACAACAGCTCGTTCTTGAGCGTGACTCAGCGCATAATGAAAGCCAAGGAGTGAATTATAAAACTGCTAAGAAGGACAAGATGGAGCAGTCAACCAATTAAGAGACCCTTCCATATGCTAGCTCATGGAAAAACACAAAAACCCACCAGCACTGCCATAAACACAGGCTTCCTTACCTGTGCCTCCTCTTTGTATGACCAATGTGGCCTCCGTCCCAATCGGACACTCTTTTAGCAGCTCCACCACTTGCGTGTGTGACAGTGTTAGCGCAGGTTGCTGGTTAATTTCCACAATCAGATCTCCCTCACACAGCCCCGGGCATCCTTGAGCCTCCAGAATCTGCTTCACTCTTTGCCCTCCATTACTGTCTGCTATGGTGAATCCAAACCCATCTGCCCCCTTCACCATGTTAATCGTTAGCAGCTCTCCTCCAGCCGCTCCAGACGACGCCATCGAGACGCTGTCCTCCAGTGGCCCGGCGTCCAGGTGGGTGTCTCCAGGGTGAGGCTGCACCATCGTTGTTTGAAGGGGGTCGACGAAACGGGCGGTGCGGGAGATGTACTCCATGTAGCTGTCGTAGCTATTCCGTCCGTTGACCAGCAGAGGGCGATCAATGAGGCCGAGGGGGGATAGTAAGGTGTTTGCTGCATCCTCTGGGTCATAAGGAAGAGGGTAACCCCTGCAAAGGACAAGGGTTACGCTTTGTCCAATTGGCACTGATTGGAATAGCTTTACAACATCAGCATGGGTGGTGCCCAGGACGCAGACGTCGTTGATATAGACGATCACATCTCCTAGAAACAATTACACACAAAGAAAGGTACATAAGCTCTGGTGGGTAGAGTATATTTGTGTGTGTGTCTGTGTTTGATTCAGTTTAAAAAAGTTAAATACAAGTGAGTTCTGTTTACAAACAGTGTTAATTTTGTTGATGCAAAATTTTCGTGACAAACAAGTTTCTAACAACAAAAACTAGACGAAAGTGATGATGACTACAACTATAATAAATATACTGACATTTTCATTGACTTATAAAAAAAGAGATGGGAACATGATTAAGGGATGTTTTTTTATAAATATATCAAATTAGAATTATTATTATCGCTGTAGTTTAGCTAAATAGGATAAAACTCATGCTAGGTTCACACGCTGTCTGCGTCTGTTGCGATCGACATGAAAACAGCTATTTATAATGTACCTGTGCCACAAAAAAATTTATTCAGGACGTCATTCAGTGATGTGATTATTTCTTATGTCTGTAAGGATATAATGATACTGTAGTACTATAATCTCTGCTTATCAGGTCGCATACAACACACAAGATAAAGAAACTGCCTTTTTTTTTTTTTACATACATCTTCACTTTCGATTTCCTCTATGTAAGTTAACAAAGCCATGGGATTGAGTGCACATTTCACAAGATAACACATTATCATTTGCCAGTCATATACGATTACTCTACTTATTTACGCAGTGCTATACAGCTGAGCACCATATACTGTGATAACAAATACAAAATTAAGCTTTCTATACACTGACATTGCAAAGTGGACTTAAATTATTTTAAGCACTTTTAAAGATTTGATGGCTTGAAACTGTTCAACATACTGGTTAAAAAGACTAGTAGTTTACCAAAAACCAAAATCACTACCTAGCTAATCACTACCTAAATTAGCTCAGCAACATGCTAATATCAAATTATGAATACATGTACAAGGTACATGTTTAGATTGTTAATACGTTACCATATGCAATTTTAAATTGTATTACACTTTACTATCTGCCTAATTGTTTGTTTTGTATATTTGGTGTGCTTATTAGAGTGACGTATATAGCAAGTGGCTAATGTTAGCTATCATTTGTCACTGTCTGCTCTATTATTTCTGTATATGGCATATTGTGTTAATGAGGGTGTTAATTCATTAGTTTAGCAAAATGCTAATGTCAGTCTATTAATTTGGACTATGTAGTTGTTTTTTTGTGCTTAGAGTATATGAATGTTAAGTCATTAACTTATTAGCATGCTAATCTCAACTCTTCATTTTAAATTCTGCTTTATTATGTGTGTGTGTGTTTGTGTTCTGTGTTGTGTTCTGAGTCATTAGCCATTTACAATATGCTATTGTGAAACTTGACTATACTGTATGATCCAACATCTCCTCTGTGCAAAAATGCTAATGCAAACTCAGCAAAATGCTAATGCAAAATGATCTATTTTGACTGTTTTTTTCATTAACTGTTATATGAAACGATCCAAATAATTTCAGTAACTTTTTTTTTAAGTGTATCCTAATTTTAGCTAATTTTTGTTGATATCTCATTAAGACTGTACAGAATTGTTTCCAAGTTTCATTGAATACCATTAACACTCCTTCAAGTATATGTTTTGTCAAGACGAGTGCTCTTCGGTACTTCACATAAGAAGCACCATTTGTATGGCTCGCTGACTGCTCAGAATATTCCAAATCAATCGTTTTGCTCACCGTAAAGCCACCAGACAGCAAACAGCTGGCTAGGTTTTGGAACAAAGTTACTGAGGGGAATGAAAAAGCCCAATAAGAATAGTCTCTAATCAGAGTGAAAAACTTTCCCCAGTTTACAACGATTTCAGTCATCCAATATTTATTCATGTCGTCTCCCCTGGCAACTGTGACAATTACAGCGCACCAATTTGAGGGACCCACTCAATCCTTTTCCCAATCCTAAAGTATCACCCTGCCACAGGATTTAACCGAGATCTTCACTTTCCTTTTTTAGCATTCCTTCCAATGTGTGTTCACTAATGTTGAGGGAAATGCATTACTATTAAAAGTTCTGCAAATATTATACTTGTTACAATCTCAGTAATGCATGTTACAGTGAGATTTAAGTCCAAAATTAGGTGGTGTTAGGTTCATCAACACAAGCTGAAATCCAACATAAAGTATTCTAACAATTGGCAATAAACAAGAAGATCTTGTTTATTTAAATAGCGTTTTGGTGAAGAGGAGATTAACTTAACTTTAAGTAAAAAGTTGGCTGAAACTTTTTTGGCAGAAATCTATTAACTTAATAAAGAAAATTTACATTTAGTTTAAGTAAACGTGTTAAATGTAGTACAGACGTTTTTACTGATTATTGAAAAAAAAAAGTAATTTGAACTTTTTTCAAGTTGCACTTTTTACAGTAAGTTTGAGGCCTAATTTCTGCTTTGCTGACAGCATGGTTGAATGTTTTGAAAGGGTATATATAAGAAATCCATTTATTATGGAAGCTGAATGGTTCCAGCAAACCTGGTGAATGTTTTATGTGGGCTAAATGAGATCACAGGGCCTCAAACAGTGTTACTGGTTTCCTGGAGACATTTCATGCAGTGCCGTTCGCACCTATCGATAAGTCTTGTCCCCCCCTGACTGTTGTGTGTTGTGTGCAGGAATTTTAATTAATCTCTGTAAATACGTTCGACATTTGCCTAGAGCCTCTGGTGTTTCGATCAATAATTTCACATGCTTCCAGATAGCAAATGATATCGGTGTGACCTCCCTGTTTCACACCTAACTTTATGTCAGCATCAATCTGGGCTGAAGCTCCACAGGGTAAACCGGATCAGGACACTAATACAAACAAGGCATTATCATCCACTTAAAATTCCAAACTTACTTCTATAGTCTCAGGGATATTTTCAAAAGCTCTCAGATTAAAGCTTGGAAAAATGAATATGAAACAGTATTTTGTCATATCCCTGCTATTTTCTGCTTTAGCGTGTGCTTATGAAGGATGACGTTGGGTAATAGGAACCAGCATAAGTGTAAACAAAGTTAAAACTACTGTAGGTCTGGGTTATGTTTAATACACTTTTGTGCCTAGTATAATAAAACAGGGATGCACCAAATATTCGCCCATGGAAATTTTTCAGCCAAAAATATCCCAAAAGTGCAATTGTGGTTTCGGCTGAAAGATTTTTATCACAGAAACAACGCAGCCACGGCCATACTGTTTTGACTTAAGCAACTATACATGTCAGCTTGTAGCCATATCTCTGCTAGATAGTTTTAGAAAAAAAATTAACAAGAATGTTAATTTATGCTCTGGCCCTAAATAAATACACTCTCTCTAATGTCAATCAGACAACAAACTCAACAGCTAAATGGTTATCTGTCTAAAGTCCCCATCCCCATCACTTATTCCGCTTCTTCCAAGTGAGACATTTTATACAGAAGCAGTTTCCACATTTCCCCAACTGCCCCCCTGAAACGCATATAGATAATTTCCTCAATTTGAATGCCACTCATAAACATTTGATTTCGGTTATTTATCATTTAATAAATTCAATCAATTCTGATCCTACTGATACATTTTAAGATAATTGGGAGCGAGATCTAGGAATTACTATGACAGAGGATTTATGGCATAACATTTTAGCCCGAGTGCATTCCTCTTCATTTTGTGCTAGGCATGGTTTGATGCAGTGTAAAATATTATTTAGACCCCCCTAACCAATGCTCAGTAGGCTAATTTCTTTCCAGATAAGAGGTCTGCTTGTAATCGTTGCAAATATTCACCTGCTTACCATCTGCATATGTTCTGGACATGTCCACAGTTGGCCACCTTTTTTCAGGTGTTTTTAATACATTTAAAAAAGCCCTTAAAATCAATATAGAACCTGATCATTTGTTAGCCCTCTTTGGTGTATCCCTTGAACCTAATTTGACTGTTCATGACAGCAAGGTTCTTGCCTTTACCACAATTCTAGCCAGACGTGCCATACTTTTAAAATGGAAACAGAAATGCCAACTGACCCAGCCGGGACTGGCCAGCAACCTTCTTGCTGTGCTAAATAAATATTTTCAAAATTTAAAATGTATGTATTCTTTAAAATGTAATATTAGTTTATGCAATTGCAATGCCTTGATTAAGTACACATTCATAAGCATAAAAGCAATGGTAATAATAATTGCCATACGCCCTGGGATTCACCCAGAAAACAGTGAATTTTCTGGCAGAAATCCCTCTCCACATCAAAGTTCTTCAAGGTGAAGAAGATCAATATGCTTCAGAATTGGCCAGCCCAGTCACTAGACATGAACATTATCGAGCATTTGTGAGGTAGGATGAAAGAGGAAACATGGAAAACGAAAACAAAGAATTTTGAACTCTGGGAGGTATGCATGACTGCTTTTCTTTGAAGCTCATGGAAGTCATACAAGATATTAAATTTGGATCTCACAGTACCACTACTTAATTTGCTGACATATTTTTGTATTTACAGTAAATTTGTTCAAGTTATGCATAGATGACAAAATATTAGTCCTGCCAAAATGTGACCTTTCTGTCTTGATTAAATAATACATATTTTTTTCAGTGAAAGTAATTTATTTCAGTTTATTAAACATCATTTGAGAGTGTTTTAACTTTTCACGTGAGCTATTTCTAACACCAACTGGTACATTAAAAGTCAGGTTAATAGCAGCCGTTTCTACAAACTAGATTCAAATGCAACAAGACTTTTGTCAGGGCCTGTATTTATATGTTTCTTAATCTGTAGCTTTTTATATATCTATAAACTTGTTTATTAATATTGAACATGTTATATGTTATATGATAGTTTCATTCTTCTATTTTATACTTGTATAACTTTATAATTCTTATTATTATCCTTATACTTTAGCTATAACACCCACCCAGCCATAGCTGAGGAACGCACACACATTCAGCTATCTTTCAGGGGACCTCCTATAGATGTAATGATGTTTATACTGTACAAATTATATTCTATTTCCTTACCCCAATCCTCACAGCAAACAATCTGCATTTTTACATTTTCAAAATACTTCATTCTGTGTGATTCATGAGCAATTTTCTTCAATGGGTACCAAAAAGTCCTCACAAACATACTGGTGTTGCTATACATGTGGGGACATTTGGTACCCACAACATAGGAAGTACAAGAAACCCACACCTCTGAATTGCAGTGTTGTTCTAAAGAGCCAAAGTACAACTAATGACAGCAAGAGAGTATAAGAGATGCTTTGGGAAGCAGCGTCTGAGACATCTAATGTTGAAACCCAGAGGATCCCTGCTCTGTGACTGGCATTCAAAACAAACACAATCAATACACAATCCCCTAAACAGCGCTGCCAAGCTGCAACACACATCCTACACAAATGAAGCTCTAAACCTCCAATGCAGAGATCCAGCACACTCCTGCACCTGATTCAACTCATTATCTGCTTGTTAAGTTCTTTATGGGCACAGCTGTGAGGGGCAGAGCAAACATCAGCGCCACAGACTGGCATCTATAGTGGGCGTGGATGGGAAGGATGGCAGGACTTTAAGATGTGGGAAGTGAAGCATATCACGTAGCAAATCCCAGCTCTCTGTACAATCGTTTTCAATTAGCAAGGAAGCCGGTAAGTGGAATACATGTCATGTTTATGTCACTTTAAAGTTAACTTATGGATAAGATGATAAATAAATGTATATGTGGTAGACCGTTGCGTTCGCAGGTGTGTGTGTGTGTGTGTGTGTGTGTGTGTGTGTGTGTGTGTGTGTGTGTCTCTCTCTCTCACTAACTCTCTCTCACTCTTTTCCTCTGCACAGGCCCTGCCCCAGTTACGCAGATGACTTGCCCTGGGATTGGCTTGTCAAAAACAAGAAATGGTCGTGGAGCAGGAGAGAGAGTTAACTGGCCTATGGTTTGGCATTGTAGAAAAAATATAATACTGTACTTTGCATAAGTACGGTGAGAAGCAGTTGGGGTTGGATGCCACACTTTTCTTTCCTGTAAATATTTTCACATGTTTTTATATATAGTTAGGGAGATAGGAATAGTTTTTGCATTTTTATTTCTGTTATAATGTTAGGTGTATTTAGTTTCATTTGCGTGTTTAGGTAGGGGATATATTTTTGTTTATTATTTTTCTGTGGGTCCTCTCTGAGGTATTTGGCTTCACATTTTGGTTGTGAAGCCACAACCAAAAAGAAAAAGACAAAAAAAAGACTAATAAATGGACCTGCCTCTTCTTTAAACTGATTTTTATTTGTCCAGTGTTTTTTTAATGTTACATCGTAACATAAAGTGAGGGCTTGTCCTTTGTTTTTATACATCAAAAACATATTTCTTGAACCCTTTTTGTGGATGCGCAGTGGGTAAGTAATTTCAATTTATTTTTGTTTGGCTGCTTTATTTTTGGTGTGGGAGTGAGTAGCAAATAGTGTTAACATGGAGATTTTAACATGGAGTGCTAACATGATTCGACTGCCTTTGCACTTTCTCCAAGAACTGAACAGTTTGATCGCTGACGTAAAGATTACTTGTTTACACAAGCCTAAAATGTGGAATCGCTTTACTTTTGGAATTCTGGAGTGTGACTTGCAAATCATTATTGAGTATAAGAAGAAACACATTAATTGTTGGGAAAATATAATGTGCGTAATGGTGGACATTTAAAAGCATCAGTTATTTCTATGTTATAGTTGATGCCTGTTTATATAAAAAACATATTGTGTGTTCACAAGGAACTTCTACATGCATACAAAAACGTTTATATAGGCACATTTTTCTCTTGTTTCTCATGCACACCCCAACGTTTCTTGTGAGCATACAATACCCCAGCAGGTACAGGACGTTAACACGACATCAAATTGATGTTGTACCCCAACGTCGTGGTACGTTGTACTTTGATGAAAATTGGGTTGACGTCAGAACCAAATGTCAGGCCAACGTCATTGTCCAACTTCCAAACTAATTTGAACCAAATACCAATGTCTAATGATGTTACAACTTGACGTTGTGTGGACATTACCAATATGATGACATCTGTCAGGTGATAGATTTTGGTTAACATACAAATACAGACAAGTAAATGTCAGTATTTGATGTCAATATGACGTTGGTTAAAGATGTTGGCTCGATGTTGCATTTTGGTCATTTTCCAATACAACCTAAAACTGACCAGATATCAATGTCAACTGATGTCGTTATTGTTTGTCAAAAAAAACATTATCCTTAGACACTGACTAGACATTGAATTTTGGTCACCTGATGTCACAACCTAAATCTAATCTAATATTAACATCTTATGAGGTTGTGTTCCTGCTAGGATGTTCCTCGTGAGCATGCGAAAGGCTTTTTTTCTCTTTGCAAATGTCCCTTTAGGGGCTCGGTACATTTCAGACCATACAAATATAAAACTGTTTTTGATAAATATTAAAAATTTACAAGGCAACGCTGTAGCACAGTGGGTAGCGATGTCACCTCACAGCAAAAAGGTTGCTGGTTCGAGGCCTCGGCTGGGTCAATTAGCATTTCTGTGTGGAGTTTGCATATTCGCTTGAGTTTTCTCTTGAGTAAGCTAAAATTGTCTTTAGTGTATGAGTGTGTATGGGTGTTTCCCAGTGATGGGTTGGAGCTGGAAGGGCATCTGTTGCGTAAAACATATGCTGGATAAATTGGCGGTTCATTCAGCTGTTGTGACCACAGATTAATAAAAGGGACTAAGCCGAAAAGAAAATGAATGAATGAATTGAATTTTAAATTTCACAGATTACAGATGCTTTTATGCAAAAGGAAACTTGTACTCCAGAGTGTTGTGAATGCACTCAGGACCATCTGCTGAGACTGTGAATCAAATAAGACCTCGATATATTGTCAGGAGCCACGGATGTTAACTTTGTTTTGCCTGCATGTTTTTGTTTTTTACTCTAAGTGTAGCAGAAGCCATTGACTTGCATTAAATAAATGGCCAAGAGCCACCGTATCAGCTAAATTATTCTACTTAAGAAAAAAACTCACTTGGAGGCCTGAGAGTGAGTAAATGATGTACAAATACTTTTTTGGTGTGCTTTCTCTTTAAAACTGTGAAATGCAGGGTGATTCATTAATATTTTAGTCAGAATTTTATCAACAATTTAAAGTACATTAGCATACAGATTAGCCTCAAAGCTAACATACATGCGCATACACCCAAATTTTAAGAGCGGTTTTCTCTCTAAGCTCTCTAATCCAAGCAGAATTGAATATTTCACACTGGTGTACATCTGAAGCTTCTCCACAGAACTGTATGACTGTGTTACTGCAAAACAGCTCAAGTAGGACAAGAAGTCCAGAGGGAGCGTGAAGGGTGGATGAGAGGAGCAGAAAGCAGAGGTAAGGAGCACGGAGGATAATTTCCACAACTACCAACAACAATAATACAATAAAGTGGCATCATGGGAGATGTATTGACTATATTCTGAACTCTGCACTGTGGGTCCCTCTGAACATATGAGATATTTCAATGCTGATGTATGTGTGTGTGTGTGTGTGTGTGTGTGTGTGTGTGTGTGTGTGTGTGTGTGTAAAGCTGCCGCAGTCACACTCCCACTAGGCTGGACTGATGCTACAGAGTTCATAAAGCCCCACTGTGATTAATGGACACATGCCCTGCTGTGGATGACACACAAAGCCAATAAATACACTGTCCGTAAATGCACTTAACCCCTGGATGTCCCTAACGCGCTATCAACCAATAAAATGTCAGATTCACACTGCGACCTCTGCAGTAGTGTGGGCACAACCACAGATTGAGAGAGACTGAGCAGCTGGGAGCTCTGTTTGAGTGAGAATAGCACATTAGCACCGTTCAAACATTGAGTCTGGGTGTACTGTATTTACCTGTAGCCATTTTGCCATCCTGTGCTGCAGGCCCGTCCGGTATGACACTTTTGACCTGTAGAAACTCATCTGGTTCATCACCGCCAATGATAGTGAAGCCAAATCCCATGTTGCTTTTCTGCAGAGGTGTAGACAGAAAGCTGCCTTTCAGTTGCGTGGGGTCCCTCGTGAACAGAGGCTTCTCTGCCAAGGTGAAGAAATGCAGATACAAACATGAGATTGCAACCCAGGAGAAGACATCCAGAAATTAACGGGTTACTTTGTAAAAGCCACTCCAAACCCATCAAAAGCAGCAGATCACATCACACTGGGGAATTGTGGGTAGAAGGCCAAGCGCTTTGCTTACAGCCAAACATACAAGAGCAGAGAGGAACATGATGGCTTGTTTTTTTTTTTTTTTTTTTTTTTTGCTCAAACCTCACTTTTGGCTCTTTAAACGTATCCTAATGTTACACTCAACAGTGTTGAGCCTCGTCCAGGGCCGTCTCTTAGGACAGACAAGACTTAAGCAAAAAAAAAAAAAAAGCCAGGAGAAGAACCAGCACAGGCAGAGTGATTCTTCTGCTCTCTCAGAGCAGTCTCGAAAACCGTTCTGGAGAAGCAATTTACTGTAATTGCACACCATCAAGGACCTTTGTACTAAAGAGTCGCTTCTTCACAACTGAAGAGAAGCCTACTTCAGTACACAGTATGGACTTACGAGATGCATAGTCACTCCATCTCATTTCCTTGGTTGAGAGCTTCTCAAGTCTTTTTTTAAAGTTTATTAAGTCCTTCTGCAGTTTCTGCCATGCGTTTATTAGGGGAAATAGCTGGTTCAGATATCCTGCTGAATGACCAGCATGAACTTCCATGCTGATCCATACTTGTTTGGTGCTGGTTTAGCTGGTGAACAACCACCAACAAACAGAAGCTGGTGCTGCTGGTTGACCAGCATAGGCCTTGTTTGTTAAAATAGGGCAAACGGGTAATGGGGAACCGTAAAGTTTGTTGGTTGTCTGGATGGTCTTTCAGCCGACAGAATAGGACATGCACAACCTGTTAAACCTTTGTTAGCTGAAATATTTCTAATGCCAAAAAGTATGAGTGGGACATTTTTGAGTGAATTTAGGTTGATTGAATCATATAAAGCAGGTGTAATTTTGCTTTTATACAGGGCCATATGTTATTGTGAAATGTTTGAATGTTTAAGTTTGTGAAACTTTTAATGTGTGTACAGTCAATAAGCACAGACCCACATTTAAACAAAAAAAAAGTTAGACAAAGTGGCTAGTCCAGGACTATGCAAATTTGAACCTAGAGTATCACAGCCCTGCAACGTTTTGATCCAACCTTCATAAGAACTGGTCGCATTCTACTAGCCTTTAGTTGACGACTTAGGGTCATTTACCCACAAACTAAAATTCTGTCATTAATTACTCACCCTTATGCCGTTCCAATTCTCTAAGACCTTCATTTATCTTTAGAACACAAATTGATGATATCTGAGAGCCCTCTCACCCTCCATGAATAGAAATAATCCCAAGAAAGACACTTTGTAAAAACATTTAATATCAGTTCAGAGGTTCAACTGTATTAATACAAAGCTCCAAGAACACATATTGATGCCAAAGAACTGTAATAAAACAAATGTCACCAATGTCTTCCATATAAGATGAGGCTTTGCATGGGCAATATGCTTCTGCGTCATACTGCCCATAGTAACCATGCACCAAAATAAACTGACGTGGAAGAGAAGATATAGGATAACAGAGTCATATTTACAATTTTTTGTGCATAAAAGTTTTCTTGGAGCTTTGTATAATTAAAGATGAATCTCTGAGGTCACATTGAATGTTTTGACAAAGGTTTCTTTTCTTGACTTCTGAATATCTCAGGACCATTGCTGTCTCTGGAGGATGAGGGAGTTTGCATTTGATCAAAAAGTTCTTAATTTGTATTCTGAAGGTGAATTAATGGATCTGTGAGAATTGGAACAACATGAGGGTGAGTAATGAAAACAGATTTTTCACTTTTGGGTAAACTAACCGTTTAATCACTGATTAGCTTGTTTAGGCATGTTTGATTAAGGCTGAAGAAAAACAATGAAAAGCTGTGGCTCACTAGGGCCAAACTTGACTCTACCTGAAATAATCTAACTTTCTGATTACCAATTGTCAACTTGGACGTTGAATTACTTGATGACCATTCTCAATGAGATGAGCAAGCTTGAGAAAACAATATGTGTTGTAAACCAGCACCTCAAACAGATATGCTGGTCCATTCAGCAGGGTAGGTGTACTCATGCGTATCCTGAAAGCGCAGGCAAAAAGTAAAATACAAAACCAAAAAAATAAAAAGCCAACAAAAAGTCTCCACTGGTTTACAAATTGAAAGAGTTTCATAGAGGACTATGTAAAAACAGGCCAGACGAAAAGAGTCCTGCTGTAGTTCCTCCCTTACAGAAGGGGGTGCTGGTCTAGGACGTACCATGCAGTCCAAATACCCCGGCCCGGTACAGGGGGGCCTCGGACAGGTCAGTGAGACTGTGAGAGCGTTCGGGAGCAGGACCCACATATGCCAGTCTGGCCCTGGGTAAAGTGGCAGAGGAGGGGCTCTCCTCCACTGTTGCAGAGAAGAAAAACCCTCAACTCACACAGAAAAATGCAATAGCATAAAAAGATACAAGGCTGGGCTACTGTGAACATAAAAAGAGATACATTTCAACATCCTTGTTGGTCCTGGAACAACACTCCCAACAATTCGATTTAAGACTTAGATTTAGTGCTGGGGTTGTAGCCTCAACTCACAGAGGAAATCGATAAATGGCATTGAAGGATACAAAGTTGGCCTTGTATGGACATAAAACAGTAACATTTTGAGAGGAAAAATAAGGTGATATTTGCTAGGTTGAACCTTCTTGTTAGTTCTGAAAGAAGGTTTCCAAAGGGTTAGGTTGGGGTTGAAGCTTCAAGAGTGTTATTATCCTGACATTTTCCTCTGGTTTTAGGGATAGTTGTAGTAGGTTGTTATTAGGAATAGGGTTAGTCCTACTATACAAAATGTCCTACTTGGCCAATTGCAGTCTGCACAAAAAGTTGATCCAGTAATGATGGACAAGGATTTGATATAAAATACAGGAGTACACTCTGAATTGGTTAAGGATTAACATCTGATCATACAGATCAAGCAAATTCTGTGTCTGTGAACTTTTTTTTGACTTGGGGTCTAGCGAAGGCGTGAACCTTAATTCTACAGCAGACAATATTTACAGTACACTGCTGCTGGATTTTTAGGAGGTCTCTTTGTGCTTGTATATTATATTAATGATTCTGATATGGAACTAGTTCAATGTTTCTCAACCACGTTCCCAGAAAACCATCAACACTACATGTTTTGGATGTATGCTTTGTCTGTCCTATTCATTTCAGGTCTTTCAGTCACTGGTAAATAAGCTGATGATCTGAAAAAGGTGTGTTTGGTTAAGAAGACATGGAAAATGTGTTGGTGGTCCACCAGGAATGTGAAAAACACTGAACTAGTTGACTTAAGGCCAGGCCTGTGGGCAGTTGCATTAATTTAGACTTATTAATGCTGTCTTATGAACTATTTTGACCCCTTTTTATATATATATATATATATATATATATATATATATATATATATATATATATATATATATATATATATATATATATAAAAGTATAATACAATATACTTTTTCATTTAAGTAATATTAAAACCATTAGAAAAAACAATAGAGGACAAACTTTCAAGACTACATTAAGCAGCTTATGCAACTAGACACTGAACTATCAAAGACATTTGTGTCAAGTGGGCAAATATGGTGTCACAATTTCAAGGGTCTATATATATTCTAGTTCTTTTGGTCAAATAGTACACGTTTATTAGGAATTTTCAAATGCAGCACGTTTTTACTGGAAGATGTACTGAAACAAGATTTTGCCTTGTCTGGCTGAAAATACTTTTCATTTCACCATTGTGTGGCCCAAGGCCATGTTAAGAATAAAATGCACATTCTTATTGAATAATTGAGCCACAAAGAAAACAGAAAGCATTTGAGCTTAGCTCAAACAGCCTGTATAGTTATATTTGCCTATCCAAACCTGAATGACTTGGTTTCTTCCACTGAACACAATGGGAGAAATTTGAATTATATCCCTCCAAGAAATTATAATGAATAGAGACAAAAGCTTTAACAAGGATGCAAAATCACATTAAAATCTCTAAAAGGTGCCTATGATTTGCAATATATTTAAATAATTCCACACGAATGTAAGCCACTATTCACTGAAAACAAAGAAAAGCAGGGATGTCTATTCAGTGAACAAATGGATTGTGTTTAATATTGCCAATAAATCAGATGATCTGGTTCACAGACACATTTGCAATTACATCTGTTCATAAATCAGACAACAAGCCTGTCACAGTGATTAACAGCCAATTTCTGGTTTGTTTTGTACACAAAACTATGGATATATTTGAATATTTGACGTTTCTTGTGTATATTTGATCATGGTCCATTTTCCTTTTCCTGTTCTAGGAAAGACATGCAGGTGACCGAATGTTAATTTTGGCACAAAGAAAAAAATCATAATCCCAATGGTCTGACTGCAAGGAGGTGATATTCTTAAAAAACAAGTTCACTCACAGATGGTGCTCTACCAAAGACGACGTCTGAGCTTAGATGTGTTACTATGGAGACAGTCACTGAGCTCACAGGAGAAATTTCATAAGCCTCAATCAGATTCCAGCAGATCTGATGTTAAACATGTCATTGTATGAAGAGCAGATAGGGGTTATTATGATGTCATCACATCAGTGAGCTTAAGCTAGGATGGTTGGGAACACCGTGCTAATCAGATTTGCACTAATATGTACATGTTAAAATTTAGCTAGTAATTTTTATATGAATATATTTAATGAATACTTTACCTCTGTAAACTGCAGGTAGGGGGAGAGAGGACAAGCCCTGACTCTGCATCTGCTGCTGGTGTTGCAATCTTCTCTTGGCCTCTAAAACTGGGTTCTCGAACTGAGTCCTGCGGTTTATGTGACTGCAATCAGAAACCAGAAACATAGACTCATTTCAAGTGGCTACTTGAAAATACGTGACCATTCAGTATATAAGCCACAGAGCAAGCTGCCTTGCTCCACTGCCTATGTAGGTGGCATTTTCACTCTACTTAGGCAGTAGCCATGCGAATGAAAGCAGCTATTCAAGAAAATCTTTGAATGTCCCATAACTGTAGACTGGTACTGAATTTCAGCAACTAGAATTGACTCGTCATCACAAAAATGTGCACAGTTTTCTGTGTATATAACATTTTTTGTTCATATGTAAATAATAAATAAGTGAACAAATAAATAATTTATAAAGCCTTGATATTTATTAAAATGAAAATTAATTGCATCAATAGTTTTTGATATTGTTTAATACAAAATGCACTAATTATTGTAATAAAATTTAATTATTTGCACCAAAAATTTGCATTCTTTTAAAAATTCAAAAACAAAACAAAAAACTATATATACTGGCCAGCAGACACACAATGTCATAATATGTTAATGTCAGGTTAGATTTAGATCACCAGCATCTAAGGACAATGTTATTTTGACGTCCAATAACAACCTTAAACAACATTGACATTTGGTTGACTTTAGTTTGTGTTAAAAAGTGACCAAAATCTAACGTCAAGCCAACATCTTAAACCAACGTCATGTTGATGTCAAATACTGACATTTATTCATCAGGTATGGCAACCAATATTCCAGATCTGATAGACTTCATATTCGTAACTTCCACAAAAGGTCAAGCTGTAACATCATTAGACGTTGATATTTTGTTGTTTTAGGTCGCATTGAAAAGTAACCAAAATGCAACATCTGTTCGTTGTTGGACATTGATGTCAGCCTGACGTTGAGTTCTGATGTCAACCCAATTTTTGTTTCCAAACTGAATTCAATGTCCTACAACGTTGGAGTGCAATGTCAATCTCACGTCATGTTGACATGCTGTGCCTACAGGGTGTATACCCACACCATGTACATACACTGAGGTTGCATGTAGAAGCGAGATATTCCATTTTAAAAACTGCTTATGAAAGTAAAGCATATATAACAGTTGTGCACTTTTGAAACATGAACTGCAGAAGGGTTGGATGGTCAGGGAAAATCATCTTGGACACCCAGTTCAAAAATTGCAGATGAATGGAGACATTAATTATATGCACTATACATGAAAGCATGCATCTTGATTTAAACACCCTTTAACACATCATTTAAATCTAACAGGCTGTGGTCAATGAGCAAAACATTAGCCCAGTTAATCCTTATCTTTGTAAAGAGAGTGATGTAAAAATTAGATCAGACAGTAATGAGAGCATCTTGTGATCTAGAAGAAAAAATGGTCCTTTTGACTGTCTGTATAACACTTGCCGTCAGAATTAATTTAATATGTTTTAAAAGGCGCTGTTGAAAATGGTGCCATTTGAAAGTACAAAGACAATTAGGCCCCATTAAAAGGCATTCTTTTGAAAAGAGGTAATGCTTTTTTGCAGAGACGTGGCATTTGTAATTACAGCTTTGTGCCAAGACTACGCAAGGTCAATTTTGGAGACATTGGTTTTAGATTTCTTTTGAGGTCTAAAGCCTGAAATTGATTCAACAGATCAAAGCATAATGAGCAAATGGATTTTGTCCCTAGCACTTTATCTGAGACCAGTTCAACACTTTTCTTTTTTATAGCACACGAGGCCTTGCAAACAAGCCATGGAATCAGTTTGGGCAACACAGGCTCATTGAAAATATGTGCTTTTTTACCTACATTTTTGTATTGCTGTGTTCACACCAGATGCGGAACACGCGGATAAATCGTGCTATTCGCGCGTAAAAAGCCGCTTGAACATTTGAGTTTACTTGCTTTATTTGCGCGTCAAACTCACTTCCAAACAGATGCGAATTCGCGTGATGGGCAGGGCTTCTGTCTGCCTGGTGACTCTAGCTTCGTTGCTAAATGGCTAACATGGATTTTATAAAGAAAATAACAGTGTTTATGTGCTTTATGTAAAAAAACAGCATCGATACGTTTAGGGCCATGTCTGAGTCCACTAGATCCTTTCAGAGGTGCATCCAGCTCTGTGAGCTCAAAAAATCCTCCAGAAACTTAACCTGGATGATGGAGGCTTTCAGCGGTGCTTCTGACTGAGCCGAGCCCAGTTTGATGAACTGTTGTCGGTGTCGCGCAGAGGTTTTCCTCCGGGACACCAACAACCGTCACAATCACGCCCCCACAAGAGCAAGCTCCTAATTGGTTAACGCGGCAAGAATGTCCGCTAAAGTTCAAATTTTTGAACACGAGCAAATTGCGCGAAACGTGTTTTAAGCACATCTAATGTGCTAAACGCTTAATTCGTGCCGCGTCATTCGCGCAATTCGCGTCATTAGCGTCGCATCATTCGCGCCGCACCATTCGCGCTGTGCCATTTGCACCACAACATTCGTGTCGTGCCATTTGCACGTATCGCGCCGCAAGATGTCTATTTGCATGTTTGCATTGACTTTTACATGTATATCACTCATGCTTGAAGCTTCTTCCACATCTGGTCTGAACACAGCATTAGACTGCAAGACTGCAGATGATGCAGAGTTGGGTTCAAGTCTGGTGAAGCACGGGTCCACAAATTAAATAAAAGCAATGCAAAATCAAGGAAAAACATGTGGTCCCTGTATGTTTGCTTTTTTTGGGTTTAAGTCAGTGGTTGGCAGGAGATCTGTACAAGTCCTGCCTTCCCATGAACTTATACAAGGAGGATGTGTATCTGAAACATACATCCAAACATACCCTATGTAACATATTTCAGAATGCCAAAAATATAGGCAGCATCCTCTAGTGGATTTGTTATTTGAAACATGCAACAAAATGTACCCTGAACAATGTTTTTTAGGCATGATGTAGAATGTAGGTTAAAGCACGTATTTTCAATGAGTCTAAATTGGGTGTGGGCTTATTGTATACCAGTTGTAAAGGTGAAGTGACATCTGTATAAGTTAGAAAATACACATATTACACAAATACAAATGATAAGCCTTATGCATAATGTTCTTGTTAAGTGTCTCCTCTAAAAAGGCACTAGACACAGATTTATAGTCTATTACAGTCATTTCACACCAGATGCGGCTTCTGATCTTCCCAGCTGTCATCTTCAACAACATACAAACCCACAGTTGTACAATTACTACTAAAAGATGTGCTTTTCTTCTTTTCCATTCGACAGATAAATAGAGCCTAAACAACATGTACTGTAGGTTAAAACAAATACATTGAAAGCTACATGAGCAACTGAATGCTAATGATACAGCATATAATGCATTATGAAGGAAAGACAGACAGACGGACAGATTACATTCGATTACATTAAATGTTCAAACTACAAAGTCAATGAAAATGTGCAAATAGAGGTGAATTTGCACTAAGCAGCATGATTAATAGGGAATGCTAATATGCTGTATTCATCTCAATCACATCTTCTATGCAAGTTCCAAAAATTCCACTCAAGCTGAAAATTTGCATAAGCCAAAAAACACCCCACGAGTAATCGAGAGCCATTAAGATTGAGAGTAATTCAGCATTTAACAAGTCAAAGGATAAATAGACAAATGTGACAGAAGGACAAATGAACAGACAGACAGACAGGCAAACAGATGGATTGACAGACAGACAAACAGACAGAAACTATCACACATGGAGAAACAGCCAGAAGAAATATTCTGACAGACAGATGTATAAATATACAGAAAGACTACAGACAGACAGTCCAGCAAAACTGACAGACAGATGGATGAAAAGAGTGACAAAGAGACATATATATAAAAAATATATATACCATTAGACCAGGGGTGGCCAACCCTGTTCCTGGAGAGCCACCTTCCTGCACGTTTTCAGTTGCAACCTATATCAAAAACACCTGCCTTTAATTATCACGTGGTGTTCAGGTCCTACTTAATTGGTTCAGGTGTGTTTGATAAGGGTAGCAACTGAAATCTGCAGGAAGGTGGCTCTCCAGAAACAGGGTTGGCCACCACTGCAATAGACTAACACATCGATTGATTAACTGACGGATAGACAGACAGACAAGAGGACAGACAGAAAGCTAGATAAATGGACAAACCAGCCACAATAATCAAAAAGATAAATGGACAAAAAGACAAATGAATTAACAGACATAGAGACGAACAAATGGACCGAAAAATGGATACACAAACATATTGATAGACATACTAGGAGGACGAATTTGCAGACAGACTGATAGAAGGACATGATGAACATACAGATAAACTTTGGTGAATCAATTAAGTTATAAAACATTGAAAATAAGGTGACGCAGAGGCGGAGTGGGTAGCATGTTCGCCTCACAGCAAGAAGGTCGCTGGTTCGAGCCTCAGCTCAGTTGGCATTTCTGTGTGGAGTTTGCATGTTCTCCCTGCGTTCGCGTGGGTCTCCGGGTGCTCCGGTTTCCCCCACAGTACAAAGACATGCTGTACAGGTGAATTGGGTAGGCTAAATTGTCCATAGTGTGTGTGTGTGTGAATGAGTGTGTAAATAAATATGCAGAAAAGTAGATAGAAAGAGTGGAGCAGCAAGAAAGTGGCTGCTTCGAGCTCCAGCTGGTTCAGTTGGCATTTCTGTGTGGAGTTTGCATGTTCTCCCCGTGTTCGCGTGGGGTTTTTTTTTTCCGGGTGCTCCGGCTACACCGACAGTCCAAAGACATGTGCTTCAAGTGAACTGAATAAGCTAGGTGTATGTGTGTGAAGGAGTGCGTATAGGTGTTTGCCAGTGTTGGGTTGCAGCTGGAAGGGCATCCACTGCGTAAAACATATGCTGGATAAGTTGGCGGTTCATTCCGCTGTGGCGACCCCTGATAATTAAAGGGACTACGCCTAAAATTAACGAATGAATGAACAGAAAGATAGATGCATCAATGGACAAACTGACCAACAGACAAACAAAAGGATGAATGAACAGACTTACAGGAGGACGAACTGACAGACAGATTGATAGAATTGATAGATGGACAGACATACTATGGGGGAAGTTATAAAACATTAATAACAATAAATAGAAGAAGTCATTACAGTGACATGCACAGCACCAGCACGATGCAGGCAGCCTGACAGAAAAGACTGTTACTACAGTATATGATTACAATTCGGTGATATGACGTGCCATAATCTCATCTGAGGACAGCAGGCATGGATGCAGTGCTGCATTTGTGATGTGCGGTTGTGTATCCACAGGATACTACAGCTGCATTATTGGCTCGAGGCTGGCTGTTCTTCTCTGTCCTGGGAGGAAGAGTAGCCAAGCAAAACCATACTATAAATAGTCCCAGCTCACCCCAGACTGTGCATTAAGCAGGAAAAATGATGGCACACACACGCAAACACACTGAATTAGGAAACAACGAAGCAGCTGTTTTTCAGCCTGGGCACGATGGAGCTGCAATATATGCAATTAATACAAAGCTGAGAGAACACATAGGGATCCATTAAATGCCATTAAACTGCTAACTTGAGCGCTTGAACTTACTCAACATAGTAGGTTCCATAAATAGGGTCATCAATTTTCTCCCAGCCATAAGGAAGCTCTGAAAAACAAAACATATATAGCATTAGAACCATTAACTGTTTTATTAAATCTTGCAGCAATAGAGTATGCAGTTTTATTACCACCTTACTGTATGTATTAGTTCGTTATCTGGAAATGAAGCTATTTCTAGGCTTTGTGTATCCCCGTGACTTACTGATGTAATTAAGCGAATACTGAGGTTCACATTATTATTTGATAGATTCAGTGGGCAAATGCAGAACAACTTTTAAAATAATTGATTCATTTTATTCCTAATCGTTTTTCACAGTCTTTTACAATATCATCCAATTTGCAGGCCCCCATTCATCACCATGACATTTTAATGGCTTATACGGAATAAAAAAATGTTGCTTTTATTGAAATTAAAATATTGTGCTGTGTATCTTTTTTTCCAAACACGTTTCTGAAAATTGCAGGCTTTGTCTTTGTCCTTGCACTTTGTGCTCAGCTCCATTATGCTGTGACATTCCTGCCTTTAAAAATAATGGTTTGATTTTCAGACATGTTAATAATTATGGAAAAAAATCAGTGTGATAGTTAAAAAAAGAGTAGCATTGTTCTCTAAAAGTACGGTTCACACATCCCCATATTTGCAATAAGATATGCTAATTAAGACTGACATCTGAACAGATTGACAGATCATACATAGTGTCACACCACATATAATAACAGAAGAAATAAATCACAATTCATTAGTCACAAAGGCTGTGTCTTACTTTATTAATAATATCCAGACTAAAATATACATATAGGATATGCAAACACGCTTGAATACACACGCTCCATATAGCATGGACACCCGCTGGGCTTCTAGACGAAAGCGACAAGGAAACACGGCGCAATTACAAGCACACCCACACACACAGACCAAAATTATACATTCAGCAGCTTTGAGAAGGGTGAAATACCAGACTCTGTGTGTACATCACACACAACTTTGTAAATTGCAAGTGACAGAAACTGTGTGATGTTCTCAATCTGGCTAGCGCACACACACACATACACACACACACTGATCAAAGCGCTGTTGGGTATTACTCTACTGCTGCGCTATGAGCTGCTAGTCATCTTATTAAAATAAAAATCCACTTGTGAAGACAACTGAGCGCACGGATCAATCTTTAGGATGAACATTCGCAGGGGGAGATGAACAAACCCTAACCACAAATATTAAATAGATGCTGTAAAAATCACAAAAATGTCAAATCATGTCACTTTTTGAGGAGAGATGAGTTCGTTTTCTAAGTGATCTTATGACAGGGGTGTCCAAACTCTACTCTGGAGGGTCATGGCCCTACATAGCTTAACTTTAATTTGTCTCAACGCCCTGTCTGGAACTTACTAGTAAGTCTAGTAAGAGCTTGATTAACTACTTCATATGGATTTAATTATGGTAGGAGTTAAATTATGCAGGGCAATAGGCCTCCAGAAGCAGAGCTGGACATCTCTGTCTTATGATTTTGGTATTCTAGGTCAAGGCTGTCCAATGTTCCTGGAGGGCCACTGTCCTGCAGAGTTTGGCTACATGTCTAATTAATATCCTACAATCTGAACCATCTTATCAAGATCTTCACAGAAAGAGGCAAGCAGGTTGGAGCTGATTAGAGCTAAAATATACAGGACAGTGGCCTTTTAGTAGGAGGCCTACTAGACACTCCTGCTGTAGAAAAAGCCTATTGATTTACATTGAAGGAGAGACCCAAGCTATATCTAGACATGCATGTTTCAGTTTGCACCTTTACTATAAACCTTAACAGTTCTGCTTTGGTTTGGTTTTGTCTGACTTCATTTTGCAATCACTGCAGTTTAGTACCTCCTAAAATGAGTAAAATTACTGCTTTAGGATTACTGTGGCACCTATGCAGCGGTGACTTCCTGAATATTTTTTCATTTAGGGTCATCTCATTCGCTCCTCGGCTACCAATGAGAAGAACGTCTGGACCTCTTCTTCTGACCCTCAGTTGTCTTTGTCACAAGATAGTATAGTGGTTGGTGCTGACTTTCTAAATATATTGGTTTTGGTGTATTGTGCTAGGAATCCAATGACGCTGGTAGTGAAATTAAACTTTGGTAATAGTACGGCTCGCCTGGAACCTCACCTGATGTGGTACTATTAAGTACAATACAGTGAAAAAGCACTTAAACTGACAACTTTTTCCTAAAAGTGTTTTAAAATGATCATTTGCGATCACTTGAACACTGTTGGTTGGAACAAGGTCTAAAATTGTGAGGCTCTGGTTCTGTCTACATAGTCTACATAGGCTTCTCCATTAAACATTGTATAAATTTTTAATCATTACTGATTAATGACAAAGCTGTAAATGGTTTAGCTACCCAGTATATGAGCAAGCTCATGACTCATTACAGCCATTGGCCAGTTGATAATTTAGTATAAAAATTAAGTAGTGGTAGAGCTTTTTCTTGTTTACCTCCTTAACTTTGGAATTTGTTCAAAGAGCAACAAAAGAGTACTTAATTTGCTTACTGACCTAAGATGTGGACTTTATAGGACAAATTGTGAGAAAACACCAAAACAGAAGAGAAATTGTAAGTGCTATCCACTTTAATAAAAACTTTCTGCTCACTTATTCATTTAATAGAACTCATACTTCACATGAAGGGCTGTTGGCTGATCACTGAAAGCCCTGTTAATACAAATAGACCCTACAGTAAGACTACATTTCATAGTAACCAGAAATTATTATTTTAACTTCAGCTCGAGATCTTAAAGTTGAGTAGTTTCAGTAAGTGATACTGTTTGCTAAACTATTTTCTGGGAAACACAGAATAACTAAACAATGATAAATGATGCAACTGAGGTCATACTGTAGCTGGCTAGTAATACTTCTGGATAACAAACCCAAAAATATCCTAAAGACTTGGACTTGAAACACCTACAATAGATAAGCATTTATCTTAGAGCTCCATAGAAACCATGCAGAACACTTTAGCAACTACAAAGCGACACCATAGCAACCAACCAGAAAATGAGAACAGAAAATGACCCAATTTTGTAAGCACTATTAATGGTTTTCTACTGACCCATGAACACTTGCCACCAATGGTGCAGCAAATCTGGCAAACTCTAAGCTGAGCAGATGGCATTATGCAATTTATGGGAGTCAGGTTCACAGGTGTTTACCAGTCCCTTTGGAATCTTCATTTTTACTGGCTACTCCATTGTTATTTCTTGAGGAACTAATCAGTGGCGGTTTGGCTGGTCACTGCACTGCTGGAGAGTCTCCTTTTTGTGTTTTTGACAGGAGAGTAGAGAGAAAGTTGACAGGTTGGGAACTACTGCAGGAAAAAAAAAGTGGAAGGGGATTGGAATGGACCACAGGGAAAGACTCAAACTTGGCTCCAATAGGGAAACTGTTAAAACCGTAGCTTGTCAAGTCAGTTCTAATTTAAAGCAGCTCAACTACTGTCAAGCTACAGTAAAAAGTGAAAAACCATAACTTTACATCAAATAGGGAAATCCTTTTGCCAGAACAAATTCATGCACTAAACATACATTTTTTAGGTTATAATTTTCTATAGACTACTAAGTTTTGCTAAGTAACTTAAAAAGCTATAATTATCTTTAAGACTATATAATACTATACAGGCAAAGTACATTAACTATGCAAATACTAATCCTGGCAATTTAAGTATTTCTATCATGCGAAGTAAAATAATGAATATAATAAATATTTTAATCAAGCGCATGATGTGAAAACGAGTAAATTAGAGCAAGTGTTTATCGCATCTTCAGTAACTTGAAAATTGAGATGTCCTTTTTTTGTTTTACACATGTTAGCCAAATATTGTGTGGGTAGATTACTTGTTTCAAAGCCCAATTTAGGCCTTAACTACATTTTGACCAAATGTGTACTCAGAAATAAAGGTACACAAGCTGTCACTGGGGTAGTACCTTTTCAAAAGTTACAAATATGTACCTAAAAGTTTCATATTAATATCTCAAGGGTACATATTAGTACCTTAAAAGTACAAAAGTGTTGCTCTTAAAATTTGTAGGTGCAAATATATACTATATACTTTTGAGGTACCAATATGGACCCTTTAAGTACAAATGTGTATCTTTTGAAAAGGTACCACACCAGTGACAGCTCTCGTTTATTTCTGAGAGTGTAGTTACTGCTCTTTTTCTTTGGACAGCAGTATACAGTAGTAGTCTAATATCATTAGATACTATTTATTAATTGAATTGAATGCACGTGTAATTATTCTACCATTAAACACAAACAAATACAGTGAATGGTTTGGCACAGGTCTATTAAATAATACAAAAAAAAAATCCTTTTTTATTACTAAATGTTGGAATTAACATGAACTAAGAGTAATAAATGCTCTGGATGTACTGTACTATTCGTAATTAGTTCTTCTTAAGAAATATAGTTAAGAATAATTAATTTTAACAACCTAGCCTAATTGTAAACTGTTATCAAAACATGCTATTTAATACATTTAAAAAATGAACAGTAGTATTAACTAAAATATAGCAAAATATTTATCTGAAAATTAATCAGTGAAATAATTTAGCAAACCACGCAAACAAACTAATTCCCTAAATTGAATAGAAAGGAAACAGCATGTTTGATCACTTCCCCAATTCAATCTGGTGTAAGTACTACATCAGACAGAAATAAATTCTAGAATAGCCTGAACTGCTGTCATGGAGAAAAATATATTTTAGTTAGCAGCAATGCAACCTTCAGTTACTCCCCAAAACTGCATGCTAGTCAGGCTGTCTCTCCCTGTCTAAGTGGGCAGTGAATGGTCAGAAAAATCTGATAAGTGGACAAGACTTCATCCTGATAGTTTGACAAGCCTACCAGAAAGCACAAAGATTCTGCTGCTCTCTGATCAGTTCTCGGCCTCATTGCACGGACATTCAAGTTTATTTGTATATCGCTTTTTACAATAATTATTGTTTCAAAGCAGCTTTACAAAAGATGCACATTATTGCATTACAATCAGAAAATGTATGGAGTTGTG